TTGTACATTCTGATCCTGTTTAAAGACTCGTGTCAGAGCACACAGCTGCGAGGCTAGTTTATTTGTATATCACCAGTCCCACAGAGTGTTATTTAAAGGAGCTATGCTGACAAAGAAAGGAAGAAATTTGATGAAAACTGCAATAAGCTGCAGTGAAAAGCGACGTTTGCAGCTGGGATTTTAAAAAGTTAACGTTTTCTGCACAGCTGTAAACTCCAGAGCTGAGAAGCGTAAAAATGTAATGCTCCCTACCTGTTTATGTCCTAAGAACACAGATTGAAAAGGTATTTTGATGGGCCTACGTGACTCGATACACAACCAACAATTTAGCCTATGAAGTGACACCCTTATTATGTCTAATTCGTTGCTGAACTTTGATCTTGGGCAAAAATATCACTTTTAACTTGTTTAAGCTGTCACTGCATTTCCATTACAAATGTGCACAAAACTATGTTGTTATTCTGCTGATTTTGTAAATGCAAAGTTTCCACAATTGCAGTATTTCCAGTAAAAACGAAATACAAGTAGATTTGCATGTGAATATATTTGGTCACGCAATAAAATAAACATTGTGGCAGGGTATATAAACACAAGAAATATATCTATATTTCAGCCATGGCTTTGCAGCTCATCATCATTGTTGAGAACTAAATGTAAACAAGTCTCCTCATGAATCCCCATGTATTCTTTCTTTGACTTTTACATGGCTTTAAGGTCCAGCTGCAGATCATGTGACTTGTGCGTTGTTTCGCAATTTTGTAAAATACAAGAATTTGGATATGACCGAAAAGCCACCTGACGGAAGCATAAAAAGTTTTTGTTGAAAGTTTTTTTGAGTTTCCAAATAGTGTATTTATTTTTTGGAATTACAATTCGCACATTGTGTTAGCATCTGTTAGCATTTTTGGCTAACAGAAATGTAACTGATCAATTTTAGATTTGCATGTAATCAGCATGAATGTTAAGAGAAATCTTGTAGTTCTCCATAATCTGAGCTTTGGGATTATATAGATATTAAATGAAAGTATGACGGGGATCGAGCCTTTAGGAATCCCGAATGCAAGTTTTTCTATTGCTCAGATTTATGATTGACACATGACAGCCCATTTGCCAAAATAGATATGAATCGGTTTAGGTTAGATGGATGAACTGACTGCACTGACAATGTTTTCAGGTGGACTTTCTTACAACATTAGAACTATTTTTTACCCACTTATAGCAGCAAATATGCCATTGTTACTAGCAAAGAAAGGATAGGGTAGCTCCGCCCAATGTGCATCAGACCCACTTTTTCCACCACGCAGCCAGAGCAGCAAAGATTCTTCAGCCGCTCATCAGAACTAAACTTGTATAAGCATCAAAAATGAAGCAGCACGCACGTTTTTGTTGCTCTTGCTTCGTTAGGTGTGAACGTAGCATAACAGTGGCTATTGGGGGGTCGATTTGTTAATGTGTCAGGATTACGCGCACAATGGGGAGGGACAAGCAGACGACCATGATTGACATGACATGGAACCAATCGTGTACACTGGACCGCCCTTTGTGATTGGTTGGGTTTATTTATTGATTTTTCACTGTAGCAGGGACCATTTATTGTAGTTTCACTTCCAGACCTTTTATTTCACTGCTTGCTAAGAGGCTGTGGGGAGATCTTTGAGCCACATGGTAAAAAATGCGTCAGAAAAGATCTCCTACTGCACCTTTAAGTACAATAATAATAATATGTTTGCAGTTTATTTTAATACACCAATGCAGTCTTAGTGCTTTGCACAGGAACTGGACAGGATTAAATTGGCCATTTCTCTGATCAAAAAGTAGATAATGGTTAGATAATTACTCATTATGGAGCAAGTCTTATTTTCTCTTCTTTTAAAAAAGTGAAGTTTCATTCATCCGCCGTGAATAACCCCTTTATTTCCTATTGATTTGTACCATGAATTTTTGGCCTTGTGATTTATGTCAACCTTCAAGGGTTGGTAATTCATCTACTGTAAATTAAAGGGTTTGCAAACTAGTCCCTCATCTTTTTATGTGTGTGTGCCTGAAGATAGGTGTAAATTTTCACTCTTATCATCTAAGAAACTGCAGGTTTATGATTCATAGGGACTGCAAGTGTTATTCAGTGTTTCACATGTGTGTGTTTGTGTGTGTCCCACATGCATGTCAGCACTCGTCTATTGTACCGAAAGCAATTATGTGTAAGTTATGTGTGCAGTGGGGGATTGAAAAAGGGGGATTTTTTTTCTTAAACACAGAGGGGTTGATAATTACGGGTTAAATGAGTGAGCTCAGTCAGCCTCTGAGTGTGTGTGTTTAAAAAAAGGAAGGCACAGCAAAAGCCACTTCAAGGAGGACTAATTACCCCAAGGAAGAGAGGAAACATAAATGGACGATTTTGTGGCTATAATGTTACAGCAAAACGGCTTCAGCAACCTCAGCACGTGAAGTGGAGCCACAGCAGATGTGTGTGTGCACGCGTTGCATCCTTCTTGCAACATATGCCGAGAAGCTGAAAGTGTGCAAGAAATTCAACTTCTTTCATATTCTGTGGTTTGTGTCTTTGAATAATGATGTTGGTGCTGGGATATTTCATTTCTAACTCATCACATGGTTTCACATGTAGTGTGAGTGTACGTTTAAAAACTTTGTCCACTCATGTTTGCATTTACTCTCCTGAGCATTATTTGCTTTGGATGAGGTTTATGATTTTAATGTCGCTTAGCATTTACCGTCACACCATCTGCTGATGCAAACTGCGCAGTTTTTGGGATTTTCCCTGCAAAATGTCAGTAGTTCTGCTAAAAAAGATCTAGTAGAAATATCTTTTTTTTCTTCTTCTTATCTGGATGGGATAGGTAATAAATGCAAATGAAGGTTTTCAAATGTATGTCAGAGGGAAATGCTGTGGCATGATTGTTGAGCTGAAGGCATTGTATTGAAACAAAGAAAAAAATGGTTTGAAAAATAAAAAGAAAATTGTTTTTATGTTTTACTTAAATGTGTTTTTTTTCCTTGAAGAATTATTTTTTTTATTTGGTTCTCAAAAATGTTTTTCATATTTTTAGTTTGATATTTTAATTGTTTTCTTTATTTCAGCACTATTTGTAACTGCTGGCAACTTAGGGAAATTTAAATAAGAAAGCATGTCAGATTTATATGTAAAATATGTTCAAATCAATCAGTTAATTTCAGTTTAGTTCATTTATACAGTCTGTATAAAGCACTGGGCCAAAACTAAAATAAATGTAAAGTAATGCAACAAAATAAATGAAAAAAACAACTCTAGAGTAGGGTAAAAAAACAAATGCTGCACCAGCAATACCTACTATGGAAGAAAAATTTAAATAAGTTTCATTAAATTCATTTTAGTGTTGATTCAAGACACATGCAGCACTTTACTTATTCAATCCAATTAAATCATACAAAGATTTGTTAAAGAAATTTGGCAATATGCTTTGCAGTAGCTTTGCTCTTTATTTATATAAAGGTGACCACTAAGCTACCTCTTATGAGCAATGTATCCCTTATTGGGCTTCATCTTTAGCTTTTAACGGTGTGGAACAGGAGCACATGTCCTCACGTTGTCTTTTCTTGCTAGAATCTTTGCATCTTTTTTAGATTCTTCCCCCCATCTTATCAAATCGTATAAACCCCCGCTACGTTTTGCTCCCTCTCGCACACTTCTTCTGCCCAGCACAAGAGGCAGCACGTTTTGTTTTCACGTGTATCAACATTAAAAGCGGTTTAGCGGTTTGATCTTGGCCTGCAGACCGTTTCTTGTGTGGGTCTTTCTCTATGCTTGTGTGTTTGACTTTAAGATACTGATGGATAGTGTGCATGTGCATGTGTATGTGTGAGTTAATGTGGAGTACAGTGTGTGGAAGCTCTGCCTTAAAGTGATAAGGTATTCACTTTGTAACTCAGCAGGAGGCCCAGCAGTTTGCACCAAGATCTTCCTCTCTGTAGTGCTGCTTAATGCAAATGGACCTGCATGCACACAAATCTGTCCATCTCCGATTACAGAACACGTTCTCAGGAAAAAAAATTCATGTACATAAAAATCCCCATTTTTCCCAAGATGTTCAGGAGCTAAACAAAACTTTTGGAACCGTTTTCACCTATTCATACTCATTGTCATTCACAAACATATTTGCTCTCGAACAGAAACATGCATGTTTATGGTTGCAAAGAAACAATGACCCAAGCTTACAAAAACACTCACACCGCAAAGTCCAAACTGAGTCTAAGCCTGCGCGGCCTGGATGCCTCCAACATTGTAAACCGCTGCGACATATCGGATGTCGGCCACCATGCCGAGAGCATTAGCAATAACCGGATTTCACATAACTTATTGAGAGCCATTTGTAAACAGAAACATGAAAGCAAAGTAGCGTTGCACGCAGCCTCACTTGATCATCAAAGGCTATTGATCGAACGGTCCTCCTCCTCCTCCCTTTTCTCCTCCTCTTCCATGCTCCTTGAAAACCAGCAGATGTGAAGTACAGCCCTTTAGTTTTTCTTCCAAACCATGTTTAAAATATCCACCTTTTTCTTTTAGTCTTACATATGTGTGTGTGTGGTTTGTTGTGGGTTTCTTTATCTTTTATCTTATGCAAATGTCCCTACTGCCCTGGTGTGTTTAAATTCTTAAAATGCAGAATATCTATAAGTTGGGGTTTTGGTTGTCCTGTATAGATTTCTAGTTGTGAAACTGAGATTTTCTGAACCTTTTCAAGTCTTTATCTTTTTGCATCATGTAAAAGCATTTTCAAGGAAATAGCAAACACTCGTACAGAGGATTGTGATGTTTCATTAATTAGTTAATGTGTGCATTTGTACATTTACTCTACAATTTTTGATTGGAAGTTAAAATACATACTTTTTTGCAATTATGTATCAATTATTGTAATTTTTTGGCCGCAAACCTTGTTTTCAGACGTCTAAAGTTTTTCTTAAATTTGAAATCTAATGGATTCTATGTTGCTGTGTCTCTTCTACAGTCGAACAAAGTGTCAGTGGTCCAGCAGTCCCACGGGATGCACCCCCTGACGTCCCTGCTGCCCTACAGCAATGACCACTTCAGCCCCAGTCCTCCACACCTGCCCACAGACATGAGCCAGAAGACAGGTAGGAGCACACCGACCAACACATATGCAGGTCTGTGCACTTTTTTCAATCTGACTCAAATCTCTATATGATTATTTTTGTGGAGCCAGGATTTCTTTTATATTTTAAAGTCACCTTTTTCAGTAGTTTTGTAGATTTCCTTAAGGTCTTTTAAAGGTTGCTGCTTTTTTAATCCTCCTACCTATAACAACATGGCAATAGTTTAATAGTGAAGATAATCTAAAGAACGTTTTCCACAACCTACTGAGTGTTTTTATCACATATTCACTCATTAATCTTTTTTTTTGATTGCTTTTAAATTTTCTTTTTCTTTTTATTTGTGAATGTTTTACATTTTTGTATATTGTCTTAAATAGTTTTTATATGAACTAGTTGTGCATTTTGCTATTAGATATATCAGGAACAACCTTTCTTCTTCTACTAAACTTTGGATACTTTTTTCGTTATCAGTCTTTTAATCTTTGAATGATTCTTGATTGCATTTAACCATCTCTGGTTTAAAATATAATTTAATTGATCATACCTAAATGTTTATCATTATTATTAGTATTTAAAAATATTTTGGGATTAATAAAACCTTTATTCGGAATAAGAAAACCCTGAAACTATAATATTTTTTCTTTTTATTGGTAAGTATTAGAATCATCTTATAAGTCAAATGTACAGCTAAATTGACCTCTTGAGCATGAGAAATGAAAGTGTTTTAACAATCCCTGCAGTCTAAATGTTTCTCAAGGCTCCATCCTTGAGACTCTTGTGTTGATTCATCGCTCAAACTTAAGACTGGTGCATCAACAATATCTGATTCAATTTGAAACTCAGTTCATATATGCTGCAAAGTATTGTAAATGTACAGGTAAAATTTCTCAGGATCAGATTGATGACAGCATTACCCTATGTGAAGGTGAAGATGCCCAAATCAAAAGTCAGGCCTTCCATTGCTTAAAAATCACCCCTACATCTGCCCTATTTTAAAACAGCTAAATAAAAATAAAGGAAAATGGGAGGTAAGCAAAACAAGATGCTGGTAATTAATATTCAGCGAGCTAAAGTAAGAAATATGTAGCTAAGATCACAAGGCTTCACTTTTTAGTTCAGATTGCCTTTAAAAAGTCCTGCCTACCTTCCAGGACATTTGGTCCTTGTTCCATCAGTGATTCATGCCTAGAGTTCCTCAATCCTGACTTTAAAATGTATTTATTTGCTGATTTTTCTGGAAAAACTGCAGACAGCCCTAATATATGTGTTGGGTTTAGGAACCTTTTTATGCCCAAGGGAATTGTTCAGTGTTAGACTGCTTAATGCAGCAAAATTTCATTTTTTTTTCAACAAACAGCTAATGAATTGACAGAAGATGGGACGAAAGGGAAATCATTTAGACAATCCTGAAAGCTTACATGAAAGTATGGCTCCTTAAAAGAAGATTTAAAGAAACAGGGACTATTTTAAATCCACACAGACCTGTAAACAAGTAGACAAGACCTGTGACTACGGATACCCTGGGAGAGACATGCTAGATACAGCTGCTGGATTGTTCCACGCACACTCTGTTTGTGTTGTTAACAAATTATTCATCACATCTGCTAAAAGGTTTAAGCACGCACAAAGATTCAAGTGCTGTGTCATTTTACCAGATGTGAACACACACACATGATGTCAGATAACAAATGGATTGACTCCATGTACCTCTTTCACAAACACACGCAACACACACTCACATTCTTAGACGGCCTCACAGTGTGTGAAGGGGGCAATCCCACAGCAGCTCTGAAGTGGCCTGCTCTTCTGAAGGGACTGCCAACCACACAGACACACATGCACTCAAAGATGGAAACAATTAGGGTGACAATCGCACAAACCATCACAGCAGCTCACACAAGGTTCTCTTTAGCAAATACTGCATGCAAACACACACTGTACTCTGGAAGACACTAGAAAACACACCCTGATCTTTAAACACCACTGTAGTTTTGCCCTCCCGCAGGCTTTAGGGGGCATTAGCGGTTAAATGTAATGATTTTTTATTTTAATTTTGACATTCATTCTTAAGTCATCCGTATGAACATCCTGTAAAGATTAACATCCACAATCCAAACTGGGTCAGATCTTAATGTGTCCAAAGCTGAACACCCTATGTTCTCTGTGACAGCAGAATACAGTAACTTCGGTCCTGTGTACAGCTGAAGATTGTTTCATGTAATGAAGCATATCAGAGAGCAGGAAAAAGAAAGCACCACCCAGAGGGAATCGGAATGATTGAAGAAGTGAGTTGGTACATTTCCAGTGAAATGAAACTAAGACATCACTTTTATAGTTAGCCTTGATTTGATTCGATCCTGTGGTTTCTTGAAATAACCGGCCTGCTGATGGTACTTTCTGATATCACTACCACAGTCTCTTAGACACGTTATCCTCTACAAACAATGAAGTTTAATGGAAATGAAAGAAATCTTGTTCATAAGTTAAATATAATGTATAGGAGCAATATCATTGTTGAATGTTATGTTCATTAAAATTTCTGCATTATGTGCCCAACATCTTTCACTGAAATTAAATCAGGTAGGGCTTCAACTAAAAATTATTTTGGAAATCGATTTATTTGTCGATAATGGGTAACCAAAGATTCCGTAAAGCAGACTTTTTACAAAATTAAACCAGGTGAAGCATGGAAAGAGCATATTGACACTTTTTTTTTAATCCTAAATGCAAAATTTATATATATATTTTTAGAATCTTGGTATAATTACTGCTCTAAGTGTGTTGCTCTGTCAGCTAAAGGCATGTTTTAGAGTTTCTATACTCCAGTTAACAGTTAATCGATGACTAAATTAGTTGAAGATTATTTCAATAATCGATTAATCACAATTAGACCGATTAATTGTTTCAGCCCTAATATCAGGTTTAGTCATCCAGTGGAGAGTTTGCAATATTTTTCTTGGTTAAATCACAAACTACCTTGCGATTTATTTGGATAATGTGATGGACCAACTCATAATGGTAGTTAGTTGCATTTAAAGTGTCCTGCAGTGAAAACAATCACCTTTACAAATGATTAGATTGGCAAATAGGCTCCAAAATAATAACAATTTAATCTCAGCATGAATACATATATTTTGTGTTAGTCCCTGAGGTTTCTTAGTGAAGAGAGACAGTAAGTGGAAAAAACGGCATCATGAATAGACAATAACCACCAAGAAACATGGGCAGTTCTGGGAAACAACCAGTTAGAGCAGGGGTCTGTAATCTGAGGTTCCAGAGCCGCATGTGGCCCTTTGGAGCTTCTACAAAGGCTCTTAATAGAGGCTACAACAAACTAACTAATGTACTATTATGACAAATCCAGTTTCACAGCAGAATGACATTAAGAGAACATAGAATATGTTTTTAGAGCTTTTTTTCTTTTGTTTGGAAATTATGCGATTTACTATTATCATATTTTTTTGCATCAAATTATACTCTAATATTAGTAACACCATGCTTCAGCTTTATGAATAATTTTATGTTTTTCCTTGTTTCCAAAGCTAAACATACAAATAAGCTGCTGGTTGTTTAAGATGGCAACAGATTTCCTATGGCAGATATTTCAGAAAAATAATAGGTTGTGTTATATTAAAAATCGTGTCATATTTTGTAGCTCTTAACGACTTTTATTCAGCCGGACCCAAAATGGCTCTTTGGATATGAAAGCTTTCTTAAAATACTTGGGACTGTTGTAGATGTTTTCCTTCCGAGAGGACAATAAAACAGTTAGAGTTACAATAAAGGGGTTAAGATCAAAGCGTGTATTAGTTCAAATGGCCCTGTCTAAGGAGAATTTTTCTGCCACACAAAAATATTTATTGAAGTATGTGTATATTAGAAAGCTTAGATGCTGTTAATACTTCTACAGCAGTATACAATTGCTCTCTAGCACACTAATAAAGAAATTACCAGGCATTTTTTTTCCAGAAAACAGATACAGAGTCAGTCAGACGAAGTGAGAAGAAAGACAGTATTGTGCTGCCGTGATCAGTCGTTAAAACAGAGAGACCTGCGGTAATCTTCCGACTGCTCCGTCTGGAAATCCCCCTTTTCTCCTACAAACAAATGCTCCTTGTCTGGTCTAGACTTTGTGTGTGTACGTCCATAACTGACGGTGGATCCATGACTCAGCTCTTAATGACAGACCGTGCCACCTGCTTCTACCTCACACATCCACAAACACCTGGCTGCTGCTGCTGCATCCAGTCTTTCTTCCAACATTTAATGCATGGGGAGGGGTCGCACAAATCCTCACTCACCCTACCTCATTCCTGCCATTCATCAGCTGATCACTGCCATGGGTTGCCTCAGCAGTGAGGTCATTTTTGTTATCACACCTGTACTTTTATTACCCAGTTCAGGGAGGATTGAGGGATTTCTTTACCTGTTAACAAATTCAGAAGACTGTAGAAAAGGAGTATGGACCAATTTCATGTAGAATAGTTAAAACAACGACCAGTTGTAATGTTCTGCTTTGAAATGTTTAAATAATATCAGATTTCACTTTGAAACACAATTAGAAACTGACCATGCATATTAGTTTATCACATAGTAATTCTTTCAAGTTGGATTAAGTTTTTAAAAAGATTACATTTTTAGGTTTCATCTAAAGAAGAAAGATTTTTGTTAGCATGTTAATTTCAGATATTTTACATTTTCTTTGGGTCACTCAATGAAATATCTTTTTTAATTCATAAAGCATGATATTAATCTTTTGTGTAGCCAGTCCTGAGTTTGTTTACCATAAAATCGGTCCAATGAAAGCAATCATCAGAAGGAATGTGACTGTCTTTGCTTTTTAGGTCCAAACACATTAAATCCTTCAAAACTTGCTTTTCACAGTTTTCTTTATTTACAGCACCTTCTTTAAATGTTTGCTGGAAATAATTTGTTTATTCTAGGAAAAAAAAAATCTTCATTTGTTTGATATTATGTAAATCATATATTTTTTTAAACAACACAGATTTATAAGCTTTGTTAGCACAGTCAACCCCTAAATCCCTCAATCA